CATTAGTTATATCAAGTGATATAATTCTAAGTTTTTATGTACATTTGTTAGGCTAGAAGGACTTTGAACGGAATAATACAATTTTATCATTGGCTAAATACTATGACCAAAGAACGTTATCAAATTTTAGACCAACAAGTAAAAATAGAGAGGTAATCCTTTTTTATGAAATGAATTATTTTAACATATCTCCTTTTAATCTTACATGTTAAATAAAAATAATCACTTCTGAAAATGAGACATACTTATAATTCTGTTCCCTAACTTTAACTCTAATTGTATTTATGTTGTAAACCAAGTGAAAAACATACTTTAGTAATACTTAGTTAAAAAAAAAACACTTCGATGAGCACCTTAGAACTAAAATATCATTACAAAACATTATTATTTAAGAAAGTGGATGCCAAGACATAGTCTCTCTCTTATCCTCTTCGAAAATTATATCAATACAGTCAAGCATTTTCAAATGCTGTCAGATTTAAAGAGTACCCAAGAGTTCCAATATTGAGGAACTTAAATATTTTTGAACAAAAGAAACTGCTCTTTTTGCAGCCCAACCAGCCACCAAAAATTTATTTTCACAATCACCAGAGGGCGCCAGTGTCCGCAGCACAATTGGTGTAGGTGTACTCTAACCTTCAGGTGATACTTAAATTTGGACTCTGCCAAGCTAAAAATGCCTTGAAAAAAAGGAAATTGATAACTTCTAAAAAAATATATTTACATTCTGTAACACCTAGGTAATGTTGGACTGTTAGATAAATACGAGAGTTCACTGGCCTATTTCTGGGTAACATTAATTTAACAGGATCTTATTGATATTTCTGAATCAGGAATTGAACGGATATCACTTTTAACAATGAATAAAAAGAGCATTACTAAAACTATTAACACTAACAATTCATTTAGCACCATGTATTTAGCACCAGAATCAATATCGATAGTTCACACTTAGTAAAAACTTTAACTGAAAAGAACCTCAAAATAGTAACAAGTATATGGTTGTTGTAATGCATTTTCAGCACCATTAATGAGTGAACTGTTAAACTTTCTAAACCTTTGACTGACCTCTCATAAGTCAAAATTATATCATGGCATAATTTCTAAAAATAATTTTGCATGTGCTTAAATATGTCTCTCCCCACACAAATAATGACAATATTATATATATATATATAAAATATTGTTATATATATATATAACATATATATATATAAACAGTTGTTTATATCAACGATATATATCAAATATACTGTTAGGCACTGATAGAAATCTAACTTTACTCTCCCTAAACACTTTGGTAGGTAAAAGCTTCCATTTATGTCAAAATTGCATCCTTTGATACTGAGGAACACAGGGAATGGTGTTTTACAAAGGGGAGAACACAGAGCACAGGCTGACTGTTACTTTTCCTTCCTGGACACATTCAAATTGTCTGTGTAGCTTATATATTCATTTACTAGCAGGGTATGAAGAGAAAACACTTCAGCTGGTATAAATGTATCAGATTTGCTTTTGTAGATGTTATAAGTTGATTTAACACAAGCATGTATTAATGAGAAAAATGCACACTGTTTCAGTCCAAATAGTCTGAGTAAATCGTACTGGGTCAACTTGCCTTCGTGTTTGGTCAGCTCTGTGCTAGAGCTGCACAGATCTTTTGAAATGAATGTTTCCACAAAGGTTTCAAGTGAACGGTATGGCGCTGCCAAGTGAAGCTGGTAGGGGAAACCCTGAAGGACCACAGAAATCACGACGCTTAGGCTACTGAACAGAAGCAAAAATGGTACTAATAAAAATTGTTTCCACCACATTTTAAAAGCAAACTTATCTGTCATAACCAGCAACATTAAGACTGTGCCTACACGACTTAAATACAATTCTGTAAAGAAGTCCATCGATTTAATAGTTAAAATTGTCATTTTTCCTGATGACATGGAAGCAAAAAAAAAAAAACCACCAAAAAAAAAAAAAGTCCTGCATTGTGACAGAGTGTTTTCTTTTTTACTGTATAAGGGTGATCTGAAAACTCTTTGCCATAGAGAGAGGATCTGTACTGTGGAATATGGAGAATATGGAGAATACTTTCTTTTGAGTGATATGTTTTGAAATGAAAACCTCAACATTGACTATTTAAAGCTGCTCTTGAGAAATATCCGATACCCAGACTCTTTCTGCCCCTGGGAATTACAGCGAGAAGGAGCCATCCTAGCACCATGGTTGAATGCTGTGAAAAACAGAGCACACTGTGGATATCAGCAAATTTTCATTTGCTTTTGCCTGGAAAATGAAACATTTCACATGCCTACCTTACGCTACTCACTTTAAAAAGTACACATAGCATAACAAAAATACCCGTTATATTTTCAGCTAAATTGTTAAGTTACAAATAAATGCATAGCTCTAGTTGTGATTTGGAAAGGACTGTGGTGTAAGTTATTCATGCCTAGATCCTAGGTCTTAATCTGGTATGTTTGATGACTTATCTGGATTTTTGATGCATTCAGAGCTTTATGTTTAAGACATTTTTTGTCTTAATAAAATACAGAAAGGAGGGAATCCCTTAAATTGTTGCAATTCTACACTTTTTAGTTAATTCTAAAAATATATTCATAGACACGTTTATTAAACACGTACTGCATTATAGGCACTCTATAAGAGTTGGGATGAGAATCAGACAGTTTCTGCCAAAGAGAAGCTCATAAAACTTAATTTTTTCCAATAAGTTTCACAACATTAATGATGCTTTTACTATTCATAAATTTGCTATTAATATGGTAACTTTAGTCTCATAGGAACTTCTGTGAAATATGTAGCAGATAACATTATTCTTTTTCAGAACTGAGAAAACAAGCCACACAAGCAATCCAGCAACAGGACTGGAACTGAGAACAGTCATCTTTGTTTAATAGTACTTTTGCTACTTCTAAGAAGAACTCTAGGGAAATGAAAGTTGGAAATACTTTGTAGAGAAAGCATGTAAACATCCCACTAATTAGCTTTCTCTCCAATTGCCCATAGCTAGATAAAAGTTAGACTGGGGCTTGAATCTTACTTACAACTACTTCTGCACTCCAGTTTAGCCTCCAAAAACATTTATTTTTAATACAGTCTATGTATGTGCCCACAAAAACAGAGTAGTATGATATCAAAAACTTTTGGTCACCACATTCAATTTGTAAAAAGGAATCAGACCAATTGTTTGTCATCATGCAAACCTAAAACTCCAGATGGATTTTTCCCTCGTTGACTGGATTTAATTGTCAACTTTCAGTGCCTCCGCCCTAAGAAATTGCAAATGTGTAGAGAATTTTAAACAAGTAGCTTCCTTCTGTTATTTGCACTCTGAAACTAACCCTGTTTGTCTATGCTGTAATTCTATGGAAGCATTACAGAACTTGTGAACACACACACACACACACACACCATAATATAAGATGTCTCAACCCCGATGTTGAATTTTTCTCTCTAATAGCAAATTCCTGAAGGAGGAAACATTGCATTTCCAAAACCACATGAGTGAAATTGTCACAGTGACTTTGATTTGATTTCCTCAATCCAACTTAATGGAGAAATGAAAAGTTATTCTTCTATGTGGACACGGAATTAAGCTTTGCTAAGTAGTCCTTAGCAAATCATCTGAAGAGGGCCACTTTGCCAAACCCTAACCGTGCTGTGCATGCAGGATCTTTATGATGATTGGAGGGATGCTCACCAAACAATGATGTGAAGAGACTCAAGTGTCGTTGGCATCTCACATGTCTCTGGCACCCTTCACCCTCTGCTGACAGGCCTCAGGATATACAAGACTCTCCGGATAAGCCCTTCTGAAGCTCTCACCTGTAATTTTTTTGTGCAGTGACCTGATCTCTGTGACTTTTCATACCTGTCTCCTAAATCTTAATTCTCCTGGGCTTTGTCAGGTTTTTCAGCATCTTGCCTTCTGCCTTCCGAACTCACAACTACTTACTCTGGTACAGTAATCCCTGGGCAGTTCATTATGTTCAGCTTCTTTTAGTTCCAACTGGTGTAGCTACATTTTCATGCTAATCAGAAGCTTTTCATATTACACAGTGTTCTCATCACCTGTTTCACCTATAGGTGACCATGTGGCATCTAGTTCCTCAAACTTACACTGACATCAGTTTGTTAAAAAACTGTAATTTTGCAGCGAAATCTTAAACTGCATTGTTTCCTGAATATTTTTTGTGAGCTTCTTGAAGGCAGGAACTGTATCTCATGATCTTTGCATTATCAGAACATAACTAACAGAGTGCCTTGCACACAGGAAGCACTCAACACATGATTACTAATTCAAGAAAAGAGACTAAGCAAAATGCATGACGGGACCTTACATAAGTTGAGCATATCCTTTGGTGAACCCAAATAAGACAAGATACCTCCAGAATAAAATCCTTGGTTGCTTAATTAAATTATTAAGCCCAGATATCACTGAATGTTACCTCGTAAATTATCACTTTGTAGGTATTACAGGAACGGGTGCTGAAGATGTCCCACCACCTCATATATATTTTTAGAATAGTGTAATTTTAAATTTCCCTCAAGTTAACTACTGAATTACATTATTGCCTGTGTTACATCATCTATTACATGTCTGTTCATGTAAATATACATATACACGCATGTGTATATGTATATCTACATACACACACATGAAGTACAGGTCAAATATATATATTTTATTCCTCACAAATGTAACATCTTTCCTTTGGAAAGTAAGTTTTAGAACTGGATGTCTCAACTATGTCAATACTACATAGACACCATTTTAACTTGGGCTTAGAGGTCAGAAGATAGAAATGGATGTTTTGATTACCTCAAAGATGAAACAAACATACTAGACAAACACTAATTTATACAAGTAATAATAAAAGGAAAACAAGATTATTATAAAATATGTATAATATGTGCAAAACTCAATATATATATATGGCTATTAGTCCCAGAAAACATTCTGTTTCCTGGAGAAAAAGATAAGCTTATTTAAACCAGTATAGGTAGTTTGATGTTACTCCTGGAAAACAAAGATTATCAGTACAAGATCCTCCGTAACTTGGAGGGCAAGCAGAACATGGTACTCCTACTTTATAGGGTGCTTCTCCAATCCAATTGCCCCTAAAAGAAGAAAAAAAAAGGTACAAAGATAACATTAGTGCTATATTAGTGCCCATTTAAAGAAATGTGCTTGTCCTTAAGGATATGTCTGCATGGATTGACATGTAATGATCTTTTTGAGAAGTTTGTCAGTTTAGAAAGGCACTGAAAATTATATCCATTTCTTTCTTTCTTTCTTTCTTTCTTTCTTTCTTTCTTTCTTTCTTTCTTTCTTTCTTTCCTTCTTTCTTTCTTTCTTTCTTTCTTTCCTTTTTTTAAAGATTTCATTTATTTATTTGAGAGAGGGAGAGACTGGGAGTGAGCATGGTGGGGGGAGGTGTGGCACAAAGGGAGAGGGACCAGTAGATTCTCCAGGGAGCAGGGAGCCCCAGGCTGGATCCCAGGACCCTGAGACTATGCCCTGAGCCCAAGGTAGATGCTTAACCCACTGAGCCACCCAGGCATCCCTCCATTTCTTATTTATACAGTAACTTATTTTTCTATATATCTTACTTCTTAAATATTTCTCTCTGCAACACTTAGTATTATCTTAATTTACAGATAAGACGTGAGGCACTACAATGAATGATGACATAATTAGGCATCTGATGCCAGGCTCAATGCTCATTCAGTCACCACATCTGTCTCTGCCCTGTAACTGCCTTCTAGAGCACGTTGGCAGGACACACTCCCATTTCTAAACTCCTGCCAATGCTAAGGATGGTAATATATACATGCACTTACTATTTTCTGGGAGGCTTAGAAATGATGAGATGAGCAAGAATTTGTCATGATAAGAGATTAAGGGCTCAGGGAAGCAATTAAAGGTGATTTCAAAACCTTTACCTATGTGTAAACTCAAAAACTTTTTGTTTTTAGTAATACTATTTGTTTTTTGATAATGTTAAACACTGTGTTGTCAATCTTTTCATCTGTATTGATGGCCATGATCATAATAATACATCAAATTCATCACTTATAATAGTCGGAAATAGCTACAATGTCTTACTGTTCAATTATGAGGGAGGAGGTAATAGATGTATTTTCAATAGCATGGTGATTAGCCCTAAAAAGAGCAACATAGCCGCATTTTTTTTTAATTTATTTGACAGACAGAGATCACAAGTAGGCAGAGAGGCAGGCAGAGAGAGAGGGGAGGAAGCAGGCTCCCTGCTGAGCAGAGAGCCCGATGCGGGGCTCGATCCCAGGACCCTGGGATCATGACCTGAGCCGAAGGCAGAGGCTTTAACCCACTGAGCCACCCAGGCGCCCCAACATAGCCGCATTTTGAAGGAAATGGAATGGTCAGGAGGAAATTTGGTTGTCAGTAGTAAAAAAGTCAGGGTTGAAGATAAGACAACTGTAAGAAAGAGGCTAAAATGTGAAACAGGTGGTTCTCATCTTCTTTACAACCTGAAGAAGCCCAAACAGTGACTCTTAAAGTGAATCTACATAAAATATCTGCTGAAATCAGTCAGTTAAAAATTCAGGATTTGGGATGCCTGAGTGGCTCAGTGGGTGAAGCCTCTGCCTTTGGCTCAGGTCATGATCCCAGGGTCCTGGGACTGAGTCCTGCATCTGGCTCCCTGCTCATCCCTCTCCCTCCACCTGCCCCTCCTGCTGCTTCTGCTCTCCCACACTCACTTTCTGTCCCTCAAATAAATAAATACACACATAAATAAAATCTTTATAAAAATTAAGGCTTTGATCTACAAAATATTTATGGAGGAAAAGTTACCTATAAAAATGAAATACATGCTGATTAGCGATTCATATAACAAAATGTCATCAGATTCCAAGAGCACCCACCTCCATTCAGTTTATTCTATACTCTGCCCTCTAGATAAGATTCCTTGAGTATAATTTGGATAATGACACATGCTTACTCCAAAACACTCGAGGAGGCCCTTTCTGAGTGTAAATCACTCCTTTATCCTAATCTCTCCTATTCTATATTAATAATCTTATTTCCATCTATATCTTTATCCAAAGCCCATAAGTGCATAGGGGCCAGCCTATGCTCTTTTAATTTCATATTTTTCTATTTATTCTACATAACTTTTTGAAATTACACAGCACATATTTTTGGTAACATAAGCTTAGAAATACATTTTATTATGCGTCAAAAGTATTACATATTACGTTACAAACTTTTACATAAATCACAGATTTTTACTGAATAGAGGACAATTACATTCAGAAGTAAATCTGTCAACCAATGAACTTATATTATTTATCCTTCCATTTTTTGTTCTATTCCATCTAATTAAAATTCCCTTCCCTCTCTCCCTCCCTCCCTCCCTCCACCTCTCTCTTTTTTCCCCCTAAAAAACAGACTTGAGATAACTTTATATTGGCATTGAAAAATTCACACTCAAATAACAGTCAAGATTTCAAAACTTTTTTCATTGCCTAGGTTTCAAAATAATGGTTCTTTTTTACAACAAATTAAGCGTTTTAACACAATATCTTAATCTCTCATTGAAAATAATCCGATATCCCATCAATAATAATATTAGAAAAGTCGAATCAATGTTTAAAAACAAAACAGCTAAACAAATGAAATAAAAATCTCTTTCACCATTTAAGTACTACTTGGCCTATTTATGTCAAGAAGAAGGGTAAAGTCTTAATAGGAAAATATAAAGTATGAAACTGAAAATATCAAGCAAATGCACAGTTTCAATGTTTTTTGTAATGCAAACACATTCCACTTTCCAAACCTAATTATTCCAATAATTATGAAGGGGCACCATGGGGAAAATCGCTATTTTTCTAACTTTGCAAAAACACTGCCACTGGCATTTTACCATATAAATGAGTAATGCAGTTATTTGTGAAACATTTTCTCATTCCCTCCCCATATTGGCAAAGCTGGAGAAAATCTTTGTTTGGGACTTACTTTGGAAGACACCAAGAGTGTCATAAATCCTTTTGCACATTTTGCTATTTACTCCAAATGGGAACAGACTCATGTATAAATATTGGAACGTTTTATCGTCTCAAGAGTTATTGTTATCAGGAAGGCATTTTATCAAATGTTAACAAATGCTTATTTATGCTCATCTTATAAAGAATATTTATAAATATGGCTATATTTTATAATCTTTGATCAATTTTCACAATACACTTTTATGTATGCCATAAAATATAACTAATGAAAAAATTGTTTTATTTTTCTTAGATTTATTTATTTGAGATAGAGACAGAGAGAGTGTGCACACATGCATACAGGAGAGGGGGAGGGGCAGAGGTAGAGGGACAGAGCTAATCTCAAGCAGACTCCATGCTGTGTGGAGTCCCACCCTGAGACCATGACCTGACCTGAAATCAAGAGGGGGACTCTAACTCAGCTGAGTCTCCCAGGCACCCCCAATGAGAAAATTCTAAATTTTCAATACTGAAACTTAAATCATGGCAAAGCTTTAATTTAAAAAGAAGTCACAGCATTTAAATTTTCCCTCCTGGCAGTGAATGACTCCTTAGCCATCTATAAAATTAGTAAACTACAATTTTTAGTTTTATTCTTAAAGGAAGAAGGACTCTGTTTTGCTTTCCCAGTGAAAAAAATAAGCCAACATTCTAGTACTGATAGCTGGGAATAGTGCAATATTGATAAATTCCCTAAAAGATTCTTCTCTTTTTCTTTTTATAGAACAGTCAAAAGCCTGAAAGTACAGTATTTATTTAACAATTATTATGACCAAAAATGGGTGAAGGGAATTTAGTGAATTTCCGTATCTCAAATTGTTTTGCCCACAATTTTAGCTGGAAATACCTATCTGTGAAAAATAACTGTTCATTTCATTATTTTTCAGGTATATAAGGTCACTGGAGATTTGAGGATTAGAGGCTATTATAATTAAATCTTATTCACATTAAAATAACTAGCAGACTGGAGATATTTAATATCATTAAAAGTTCCAAGAAGTAGAAGCCAGCCTAGTACTTACTTTGGGGCATAATTGCATACCAGGTAAACTGCACGTCGCCACACAGCTCCCCAGACATTCATGTTTTGACAAGTATGAATTGCACATCCTACCCGATTGGAGGTGGCCCAAACCATCTGCAAAAATAAACCAATACATCATTATTGAAGTTAAAGCTAAGAAAATGCATATTCCCCAAAAGAATAAGAGCATTTTTGAAACTATGAATCAAAAATTAACAAGACAATTGAAATAACCTGTGTATAATGTGTGCACATGGGGCCAAAACATCTCATAGGACATCTGGGGTTGCAATCCTGAGGATATGGAAAAGCATAATCTTTCACCTCATCATACCATGGCTTGACCAACTGGAGAATAGAGCGATATCTAGATACCAAGAAAAAAAAAAAAGAGAGAGAGAGAGAGAACTTAGAGTATAGCAGTCATAATTTATAGTGGACTCATGTTAAGTTGTAAGTTAATAGTTCTTTTTGCAGATTATTCATGATGACTCAGTAGCAAATCCGTACCTCACAATTAACCACTATCACCTATTCCTCCAAGTAGGGCCAAGCTTGAAAAATGCCTAGGACTAAAGCAAGTGAGCCTATATTCGTTTAAGTATATGTCTGGTTGTTTCAAAAAGAAAAATGCAAATTTCAGGAATCTTCATCTTTATCTTGTTTTATATTGTTAAAAATTTCTCCACCAGAATTATATATACAATTAAAAATTAGATAAATAATTTGTAGTTGTGATACTAGAACTAAATGTGTTTTTTCCCTTAAACTTGATTCACTTTTAGTAATAGCACACCTGATTTTTCTCCTTTATATAGAAGAAAACGGGTCTTTGGAATCTTGGATGATGACATTCCTTGGTGGTGGAAAAGTTATCCTATCACTGGGAACAGACTTTCCCATAGTTGCACAGACATATATGAGTATAGATATATGCAACCACGAGAAAGTTTCATAGACACAAGAATGGTTTCTGCCACACTGAAATAATTTTCCTGAGGTGGGAGAGTCAGGGTATAGGCTATAACATATGCCTAATCCTTTCAAAGATTCTATGACGTAAGCAAAGAATACAGGCTAAGAGAGGGTGTTCCAAGGGTGAAAGGGGAAACTGGTCTTATTAGGACCTTTTAACCAATTAAATAATCCTTGAAGACATCTGAAACAGTCCCAGGCCAAGCATCATTGCCTGACACATAGTGAGCACTAAATAAGTATTTGCTGATATTACTTGAAGGTGGTATCATTCCCCCTTGGGGTCCCTAAGTAATAAAATGTGTGGATAAACAGTATCAGTGAAACTGCTTCCTACCTTCCAGTTCGTACAGAAAGGTTTTGGCCCAAAAATCTCAGTAAATAAGAAGGTCCATGGTCCCAGATGCAAGTAGCTGCCCACGCCTCCGCAGATTTTGCAAGATTTTCATCCCAAACCTGTGAAGGGGAAAAAACCTTGAGCTTTACCAGTTTGGCCAGTAACTGACAAAAGTTAAGAGGAAGAAATGGTACTACTGTTTACTAAAGTTTTTTCAATTCTGGTTTCTTAGACTATTCTCACTAAAGAAAGCAAATTCAGACCATTGATATTAAAGGTTCTATAATGTAATATGATTATATCACAGAAAACATTACTGTTCTTACAGTGTCATCCAAATCTGAAGTCCAAAGATCAGTTTTAGTAACGGAGAGGCTAACAAAAATACCACGTCCACCTAGATGTAGCTTGGGGACACATCATACCGACAACTGAATTTTTAATCCACCTGAGTCAACTGAATTTCCTAGAGGTCATCTTCATAACAATGAGGAGTGATGTTATTAATGTATCTTAAAAACTAATATCATCAAATTATTTATTCAAACTGATCTACCAAAATTAATAATGTCTAACATTATACCACAATTTTTAAAGGTCAAACTATATTGTTGTGTAACGATTCCCAAGGAGCCTTCATATTTTACAACATTTGAATCTTTGGTAGTAATAATAATATGAGAACTAAGTTTTAGTGTGTATGAACTAGAAACAAATTATGATCAAGAATAATTTGAACTATGCCACATAGGACTTCTATGAAAATATAGCATATTATAATTCAATTAATAAATTAAGAAAAATAGTAATTGTTCTCAAAAAAGGAAGTTGTTTAAATTGATAAGGGTGTTATTGATGTATAATAACTTTTATTTATTTATTTATTTATTAGGGTTATTTATTTATTTATTATACATTATTTTATTTATTATACATTATATTTATTATATAATATACATTATATATTATAATATTTATTATACATTATAAAAAACTTTGGGACAAAATTTGAATGAGCCTTAGATTTAATAGATATTTATATTAGTTACCATATAGATTGATATTTTCATTTCTAAAGCTGTATGGGGAAATGAAAGCAAGAATTTGTGGACCTGCCAATTATAAATCAACCTAACATGGTAATCTATTTTATAAGATGCTTCTAGGCACAAAAACACAAAATAGATAATATTTATAATTCTTATAAATCAATATACAAAAAATGCATTCAAACATTCTCCCTAGTAAAAATATAATTTAGTAAAATATTTTTCTTCTCTGCGGAATGGTTTTAATTGAAGTTGATAGTTTGTATCATGACATTATTTCCTAAGTTATTTAAATATTTAAATATTATTCTAACTCTCTGAAAAAAATTTGTCTGAATTTTGACTAGATAGTAGCATATGTTAGAAGGTAAGAACTTACAAAAAAAATAAATGTCAATTTTATAAATTGAATATTACTCAAATTCACATGGAGCTCCCCATAGGAAAGTGTATAGATGTTCTTCTACTGATAATTATTTTTCTGTTTTTCATAGTCTCCCTTATTTTATCATTCTTTGATGACTTTCTCCTTCACCAGGTTGTATGGAGTTAAGTAAGACCCACCTACATTAGGCTTGATGGTCATGAGTTCACTTTGAGTTATAAGCTTTCAAGAAACTCATGAGACTGCTTGACTAGGGACACTGAGAGGCTTAATTTTCCACAAGGGTGATGGGATACATATATTTAGTTAAGATAACAATGTATTTAAGGGAAGAGAACTTATTTTAGTGACTTTGAAATAAAACAGGCAAAAATCAAAATAATAGATGAACTTTTCCAGAGATACTTTCATCCCATGAGGCCACCTTCAACAGAAATTTGTTAGTTACTCCGAAGTTGTTTTAAATTAGGAAAGCAATGTCATCTTACATATACTTATCTAGAATTACATTAAGGTAAACATAAGGTTTGTATAAAATGAAAAGTATTTAGAAAGAATCTGGAGCAATTCTATAGTGACAATGGCCACATCTTAAGGAGCTATAACAAGACACACTTTTCTTAGTTACCCAGAATATCATCTTCCAATTTTGAGGATTAAATTAAATGTGGCAAAACATTACATAATGCCATTTTAGTCAGTGAGCAATCAATGTTATATACAGTATCAAAAATTGAAAACACTCTATCATAAGAGATTTTGTACTACAGTTTTCACAGTTACTTAGGTCAGACATAAGTTTTAGGAATTATTATTTCAAACTCCTCCTTTATCTTATCTGTAAAAATTTGGGCAAAGTTTATCAACAGTACGAAATAAATTTATAATTAAAGTCACAATATCTAAGGACTTGAATTAACTTTTAAAAACATTGGTGTGTCTAGGTAGCTCAGTCATTTGAACATAGGACTCTTGATTTCAGCTCAGGTCACGATCTCAGGGTCTTGAGATCAAACTCCAAGTCAGGCTCCACACTCAATGGGGAGTCTGCTTGTTTCTCTCTCTCTCCTGCTCTCCCCTTCTTCCCCACTCTCTTTCTATCCTTCTCTCATAAGTAAATAAATAAATAAACAAACAAACAAACACATAAATAAAGTCTTTATAAAAAAGTATTTGTTTGGCTGATAGTGGATTTATCTACTATTTATTCTTTTGAAGTTTTCTCAATGAAATATGGATTACAGTTCACTGAAATACAAAATAGCATAATTAATTCACAAAGGAATTCCAGATGGCATGGCATCAAAAAATTATGTCCCCTGATGGGCTCTTAATTAATTGTAAACACTTGGGGAAAAATGCATCTAAGTATTATTTACATATTGAACTACAATGTATACTCAGATCAAGAACTGCTAAGAACACTTTCTTATAATCTTATCCTAAAATATAAGCACAGCATGGCACAGATAACACTGACCTGAAAATAAAAATCTCATGTTCTAACCCTAATTATGCTACTAAGATCGACTATGACTGAAGATATGTCAATTATTTTCTCCCACTTACCTCATCTGTAAAATAAGATTGGATGAGGTCATTTCTAGGGTACCTTTTCTCTCCACTTCTCATGATTTAATATTACCTGAGCGGCACCAGCATCAAAGCCAGTAAGATATATGTTATATTGGTCTACAACTTGCTCAATTCTAGTCCTTTCCATTCCACAGAGAGGATAAAACCAGATTCTTTTCAAAATAATTAACAATATTTAAAGCTGTTAAGAATTTAGAAGTAATTTAGCTTGTATAAGTCTATCTTTATACTCATTCATATATTTTAAAACTTAATATTTTAGGGGCACCTGGGTGGCTCAGTCATTAAGCGTCTGTCTTTGGCTCGGGTCATGATCCCAGGGTCCCGGGATCCAGCCCTGCATCGGGTTCCCTGCTCGGCAGGAAGCCTGCTTCTCCCTCTCCCACTCCCTCTCCTTCTGTTTCCTCTCTCAATGTGTCTCTCTCTGTCAAATAGATAAATTAAAAAATCTTTAAAAAAAATAAACTTCATATTTTATATGTCAAAAAGACAAACCATTTGTCATACATATATAAGATATAGATGGATAGATTGATATAGAGTTGTATTTAGATCTCAATCTGTATTTATCTGAAATATTTCCACTCAAAACATCAGTTTGGATATACAGATGAATCCTTTATGTATGGCTAAAAGCATTTTTACTTTATTAAAATGTTGGTCACTATCGGGGGGAAAAAAATAGATGAACCACAAAGTTCATTCCCAAAAAATATCTTACATGTACAAACCTTATTAACCATGATAAGAGATTTTGATTAAGAAGACAATGTATTTAGCATTACTGATGCCTACATTTTTAGGCATGAGTTTCTATGTATCAATATTACAATAAAAATTTTGGGGAAGATGGTTATGGAGGAGAAAGGATAATCACTTTCTTCTCTCTCCATGTTTACTTTTAAGGAACTGATGGGAGGGATTTCTGCCTGTCTCCATGTTCCTGAAGGAAGATGCTAGAGAGACTGATAGGCATGGCTTTGATCCCACCACCCCTCAAAGAGCTGGTCATTTTGACTCCCCTGGGGAGACATGGTCCATTGTCCTTTGATACCCACTGCAGGAGAAGTCAAAGGGGCTATACTTTTTCTTGCCTCTTTGTCCTCAAATAAGACTCACACGCATTCTATAGAGGGGAAGATCCAGCTTGAGTAGGGAGCTCTGAAATTTAGGAATTACATCAATCACGTCAACTGATGAAGTTAAGATCTATGTTTGCTATCTGTCTTTCTTCCTGGGTTACAACTTCCTGGAGAAAATGGGTATATTATTTATCCCCTTAAGATCCAGTGGTATTTAAATTTATTAATATGATGAGAGGTCTTTGAGGTTTGAAAATAGCAAGCAACAATAACTTTATTTAATAAGAGTAGGAGATTTCAACAAAAAATTGTGGCTATAGGGAGTGGTCCAGTGTGATCTTCTTTTTCCTATCCAGAATCTCTAAATTGTAGTGAATGTGGCCAAGTGCAACCATGTGAAAGAATTCTTACAGCTTATGAAATTCAGGAAATGAAGATGTAAATTGCTTAAGCATTTAACTTAGCATATACATTTCTGGATGCTTGATGGGTAATATATCTGCTGAATTTTTCTAAGTATGTGCAGCATTTTTTTGAAATTATTTTATTTTTTAAAAGATTTTATTTATTTATTTGACAGAAAGACAGAGAGAGAGAACAGCAAAGCAGGGAGACCAATGTGGGACTTGATCCCAGCACCTAGGGATCATGACCAGAGCCTAAGGCAGACACCAAACTGACTCAGCCACCCAGGCAATTAGAAATAATTTTAATATTGGATCCTACAAATATAGCAACAGAAAAGGGCACACATGTGCATTCTATGGAATGCCTAGTAAATATGTAACATACTATTTGTTACCTTTTGTTGGAAAAACTAGATATCTGATACTTAGATTTTATTCAAACAGGTTGAACATCCTGTATTTTTGGGTTTTGCCCTTCTAAATAGGTAAGATGAGTTCACAATAAATTAAGTTGTAAACACTTAAAATTTGATCTTGCCTCCTAAAAGTGAGGCAAAAATTAAGAATATTATGCATGGAGGCACCTGGGTGGCTCAGTCG